TACTCCCACTCAACTCGTTTACTTGCTCTACGATTGCTTTGATTCCTTTCTTTGCGTAGCGCGATGGTATGTACGCGCAATGAGGGTAGATAGTCTCGGTCGGATCTGGAGGCGGTTTCAGCGGTGTACGACTGTGTCTCCAATCAAAATCTAACACCAGACTCTCAAGTTCATCAAACGTACTGAACTCATTGCGATGAATCATCGGGTGGTACTCCGGTCGCAAATGATTGTACGCGATATCGAGATGAGCAGCTTCTGACAAATTAGTATTATTAGATAGTCGCCACATTAAGCGGACTGCATCTAAATAATTCGCGCCACGCTCAAGAGGCCCCTGTGTTCTGTTCACGATGTCAACAATATCGCGGCAACGTGTGTTGATTCGACTCGAAAAACGTGTGAGAAGAGCGTTACGCAATTCCGCGAAAGTATTGAAACGCACCCGACGATCTTCCCATCAATTATACGTGACCCCCTTGAGAATCGTAGGTAAATCTTGAAATAACTCATCGCCAGGAATACGACAGGTTTTCTGACGTACTCGCAACTGACGAATGAATTCAGCGATACACTCATGGAGCAACGCCGAAAAACTTAATTTGCATCCCAGAACGCGATCAAACATGGCGGGATTATACCGTCTGCCCTGACGACTAGGAGATAGATGATCGAGTCGCGTCTCTGGGGTAACCGCACTTAGATAAAACTGTCCATTGTGCGAAAATCCTAAAATTGGAGTAGGTACATTAGGTTTAAACCCTGAGGGTACCGTAGTTGCCTGAGAAATTATAGGATTTGCGGGCCTGGATAATCCTGGATTCTGATCCGTGAAATGAACACGAGGTTAACCACGCCCCTGATTGAGTGAATGAGACCTCAAGAGGGAGGCAATCTTGTCCAAAATTGTATCTTCAAAGTTAGCGTTCGAGGCACTGGTGGTCACCGTCGGATCATTTCCAGTGTGGTTGTACCAGGTACGGGGAATCGTCCCGGGCCTCTGATAATACTGAGGCCCCTCGAAATTATCCCCCTGTTTGGCCGCAGCGCCACCTGACATTTGGGTAGATTGTACTTGAGGCCTAGGAGTGGTTCTACCTGGGGTTTCAGTTGGTACCTGGGGGAAAATTGGGGTTGGATATTTCCGGCTGTGACAATAAGCCCGTTGTTGTCCATTGCCTGCACTAAGCCCACTCATATTCTGAGGTGAGCTCGTGTGTTGCGGGATTCCCGGTGTGCGTGAAGCGCGACTAACGGTATCGAACATGGACGACATATTATGGAGGAAACTATCCACCGTTGTGGACATAACCGTAGTTGTCGTCGATGTCGACTGCACCGACGATCTTGCGATACGCTGTTGGAGAATTGCGGGGTCGACTTGTGACAAGTTGTGCACGGGCTGCTGAACCGTTTCATCCTGCATAGTCCGGTTGCATAAAATTTGGACTCTCACAATCAAATCCATCGAGGTTGACATCACTCAAACCCGGGAAATAATCATCGACTAGGGACCATGGTACGTCCGCGTACTTCATACGAAATAATGCGCGGCGCGCCCGCGCGACGCGCGAGATTCATTCAACGGACAGATTCCGAAATTTTAGTTCGGAGATCCATCGTACTCAATAATTTATATGACAGCAATTGGAATAGATTAGCGTATCCCCCCGACTAACTCATTCTAATGGCAAGATGCCCCCAAAACCCAATAAATCATAATATAAGAAATTCGTAATAATTTAATTTTCCCAAAGAATTAATTAATCCATAAAGAACATCAATTCGGACTTAATCGACCTTCCCAAAAAGAAAAATCCTTCTATACCACTGCCAATAAAAAAAAAGACAGCTGATTCTTTTCCCAAAAAAAAAAAAATTAAAGAAATCAACCAGAAAAAAAACTAAAGAATGCGAAAGGGAATAATCATAAGGAAAAACAAATGAATAAACCAAACAAAAATCGATTATTTACCTAACTTCCACCAACAGAACTTCTAATTTTAAAAAAATCAAAAATCGGAATCACTCAGTCCCAAAAATCAATCGGTTGTTCCCAAAAAACTAATTTTTAATGGTAACAATTTTCCGAATAGAACTAATAATTACAACAACAAAATTTCTGATCTCTAATTAGATGCAAAAAGAATATTGAGAGTCACTCTCTAGCCCTTATTCCAACGCGAATAGTGCTAGAGGTCAATGACCTCACGCGGCTACCAGATAGTTGCGAGAGTACAGTAGTACTCAACAGCCGACCGTGAGCGACCGATAAATCCCCACTCCTCCACTATTAATTAGGCCCAAGGCCACTGAGTACCGCGTCTCACAGTACGACTACTTAGTACTCAAACGGTGCCCAAACGGCGACCGGAGGCTATACGTTAGAAAGCCACGCGAGCACTCACAAACAAAATTACGCTCACTGTTGATCCGCGATAAACTCCAGGAAAACCTCGTCTGGACCCTTGAATACGGCAGCGATCTCGATTCGGATGACCAGAAAAATTCAGGCACAACACCCCAAAGACTAATTACTTGAATTTTCTAACGAGCTCGAAGACCGAATCGACTCAATTGTGCAGAGCGACTTTACAAGCTGAAATCCCAGCGAAGAGTGATTCCTCGGGCAATACATCGCCCCGAGGAACCTCAATTTCTCTCCTACCCTCACCCTAATCTACCGATGTCGCGCGGAGAATTCATGTTCTAATCGTGCAGTTACACTGGCCATAATTCCTACTTTAAAGATCACAAAAACTTGAGACTTGCGCCTCGCAATCGGTGAACTGTTCCGCATTCAACGGCGGCGGAGCCAACATGATCCGATGCTCCCTCGATGCTACACGCCTTATGCAGAGTACGTGAACGCGTCGCGAGCGCCGCATGGTGGTTAAAATTTAAAAAGTCTAGGTATTAGCTGTTGAGTGTACTACTGGAATTTCCCGTATACCAAGTAAATAAAATTAAATTGGTACTAAAAAAGTGAAATGAAATAGAAATAATTCGATGAACCATATGAATTATGGCTACAGTCACCATTTCTTGTGGTTTTCAGGCCGTTTCTCTGGCATATTTCCGTAAAAAATGCCGTTCCAAAGGTAGGTTACATTCGATTTCGTAAACACCACCTGGATAGACCAAACCAAATATCATTCAGTTTTTTATTAATTACCGAATGAATATTGATAAATCTTGAGTATGACTAGTCAAAATAGATAAATTAATAAAATTTTACATTTTTATAAGGGAGAAAACTCTTTGAAAGCAGTCATGTTAATAGTGTCCGGGAACAAATAGCTGGGAAACACTGAGTAATCTACGGTAATGTGATGTCTCAAGTAAAAATTAATCAGCCAGATTATCGAGTGAAAATCAGCGTAAGTATTATTCGAAAAAAAAGAGATTATAAATTTATGCTGAAAAAATTCTATTTAGTTGAGAGAAGATCGTGAGATTCTGGGGACAAGCTGCACGTGTCTTGCTGGTAGATCTCGTCGAGGCTGTAAACAGTGTAGTTGTATGCATTTTTATTAATGAAGAATGTACAAGCTCCAAGACTGATGTTCCTCTCACTTGGAATAGACCCTCAGACGTCCAACGAGAAAGGTATGAAAAGGGCTGTACAACAGACAAATTATTCCCTCAAAAAATAAAGGCTCTGGATGAAAGTTTCACGTTTGATAGTGTACAAAATGTTCCCCCCAGTTATTACTCCATCGACTGTGCTTTTATAACATATTTGAAAGTAGAAGAAAAAGTCGAGGAGCTGATAGTTAGACAAAGAGAGGAAAAAAGAAAGCAAACAGAAGAACTAAATCATGTATGTGAGGATTTGTATAGCAAACAATTTGGTACCACCTACAATAAGTTTGAAAGAGTTGATACAGGGGATGGGACCATAAAGCTAAAAAAAATACAGTGTCCTCCAGAGTGCGAAATATTTTATAATTCGGTGAAAGTATCGAAGGATGATTGGGTTAGAATTATCGTAGCTTCAAAAGGTCAATCAACGTGTTTTCAATGGCATTCAGAAAGGTATAAGAGAATCACATCCTCAATGAGAGCTCATCGTATTAAGACTCGAGTGAACAATTATGAGAGTTTAGTAAAACAATTAAAAAACGAGAAGTTCAACGGGAGAATGAATGACGCTTTGAATTATGGAATAAAAATGGAAGAGAAAGCTCGTCAAGATTTTATTGTGCAAACAGGTTTGAGGGTGTCGATGGTGGGTTTGGTGATTAGAATCCATCAACTTTTTTTAGCTGCTAGCCCAGATGGGGTCATTCTTGAGGACAACTCCTTACTGGAGGTTAAATGCCCTTATAAATGTAAGGATACTCTTATTGTTAACGGAGAAATTAAGGCGTCCAACGTTTCTTATCTTGTCATTGATGATGAAGGTAAGATTGAGTTAAAAAAATCCCATCAGTATTACACCCAAATCCAAACTTCCATGTACGTTACTGGTCTTGATAAATGCCATTTTTTTGTGTTTAGTAAATGTGACTCTGTGCATTCGGTTGTAGAATGGAACGGTCAATTTTTGAGTGAAATAATTCCAAAGATTGAATGGTTTTATTTCTGTCATTCCCTCCCAACTTTTGTATGATCATGTGAAAATATTATTTGTAACGAATGATTACTGTGTGATTAGACACAATTGTTAAGTGGCTAGTGAAAAATTGGATTCTGTCCTATTTGGTGTTGATGGGAGTAGGGGGAATGAGGAAAAAGTTTTATTTTTCAATGAGCCTTGTTCCACCGGGAGCTAGATGGGAGGTGAGTTGGACCACCAACGCGTTTCCACCGGGAGGAAGGCCGGTTTTCGTTGGGATTTCCTCGTCTCCATCGCAATTTTTAGCCAAATACTGCCCAACTCTTCTCTCGTCCTGTCCCCGGTGGAACAAGGCTCAATGTAAGAATTTATGCAGCAGTTCATTGCATGTAAAAGTTTATTACTCAACGTTAATCAATGATACTTGTTTCAATAAAATTTTAATTATTTATGAATGTATTTTTTATATTATTTTTCTCGTTTTTATTCTTTTCACGAATTTTTTATCAATGGTGGCATACTATTGGCGATGATACCACATATGTGCATTATGGAATCTACATAAGGAAGGAAATCGATCGGAATGTGGTCTAATATATGTAAGAGTTTCATTCGTTGGATACTTCGTTCGATGTGGATACGTACGGATGCAATATTATAAGTGCATTCGACTTCCTCTTCAGTAAATTGAGGATTCATTGCGTGAAGAGGAATAGTAAGAATAGCATTTCTTGTCATCATTTCAGAACGAATTTGTGGAAATCCCTTTTCAGCTAGTACTTCGTCCCCTGGTTCTAATAATGACAGAAAACCTGAATCATTTACTATGACTGCATCGGTCGCTTTCCCTCCATATGCTTGTGATACTTTACAAATTAAACCATCTGGAGTAATGGCTATTAAAAATTTCTGAGTGAATTTACCCTTGTAATTTGAGTATGTGAGAATGCGTTGCCCCAAAGTGGGGGTGTATCGCACGATATTTCAGTACAATCAATGATGCATCGACAGTTGGGATAATTATAAAATGACGTGGGAAGATTTTCTTTTACACTTTCTCGTGAAGGCCAAAAAATCCATGACTTTGTTTTCATTGTCAAAATTTCAAGTAACGAATAAAAAATTCGAGATGCGGTACTACTGTGGACATGAAACAAACAACCAAGAGCACAAAAAGAAATTCCAAGTTTGAATTTCATTAGAAATAAGAGCTATCGATTTTCTTTACCGATTGATTTATAATAAATACGTTTCCCATTATTTCGACGATCATCGACAAGATTCAATAGAATATTGAAAAGTTGAATAGTGACACCAGCAAGTTGACGCATTGTAACGTCTGATTTTATATCTGAATATCCTTGAAATCCTACTGTGGTTGGCTCATCGGGACCACATCCAGTATCCTTCATCTCTTTACAATATTTTTCAGGAATGATTATTTTCTCTCGTTGAGGTTTAGAAAAATTAATTTCGGTTTGAATTGATACATCGGTTGTATCATTTTTTCCATGTTCACGATCACAATATAAAAAACTGATATTAGAGTTGTAAAGATCTTGCTCGTTCATTGGATCCGTCTGTATGCCAACACTGGATGTTTCCACAGCTATCTTCTCCAATTCTTGGTTGACTTCTTCCCCAAATTCCTCCTCAGGCTCAACTTCGATGGAATCATTTCCTATCAATAACGATTCTTTTAATACATGATTTAATGATTTTATCCATCGCAGCAAAAAAAGTTACTCACCAACTTTAGCATCACATTTCGACAATGGTTTCACTCCATTTGAACGAGCATTTCGATTTTTCAAACGTTCAATTCTTTCTTCATTAGGAGGTTTACGATTATAAACAGCAGGAAAAATAGTCGGATAATATGAAATATCATGCATGTTGTTCGATTTTTTTCCTCCTACAAAGTGTGCACTGCAAATTCGTGAATTTTTATTTGGAGTCCATGGTTTCCCATCCGGTCTTCTGTGAAATAAATTCGTTCATTTATCCAAGGCGAATAAAATTTATTAAATTTGTCTTAATAACTTCTCTTTCCAGATAAAATGAAGCAGAAATAATTAAAAAATAGATACGTTATGGGGATAAATATTCATATAACCTACTGGCGTTTGACAGCAGCAATCCACTTCTCTTCCCTTTCAGTTTCATAACTTTTGCCTGGAAATCCATAAAAATGCAACTCAGGATTCCTAAATTCACTATTGCTGCACCCAACTAAGCAGCAATTTCTTTTTGAACGTACAATATTATCCATTTTTACTGATGACAAATACACTGCGATGCAATGGCAAGTACATGGGGCGTTTGGGGGGTTATCCCCTTACTTTGGGTTTTCGCTCCGCGCGGCGGCGCTCCAAGCGCTCTGCATAAGGCGTACAGCCTGAGTCTTTTATGTGGTGGCCTCACGCCACAATAACATCGGTGAGGTGGTGGGGGTCCACACGTAGAGGCCTGAGTTGCCTGCTGGCGTGCGACTATCGTCTCCCGCGTGCTTGTTGGTGTGAGTCTCTACAGACTCGGTGTGTGCTTGCTTGTCGGTGTGCCAACTCGTCATTTACCGTACCGCCGACTTCGTAGCTCTCCCCGATGCTCCGCTCCACTCCCTTCGTCACAAAGCTCACGCGTAACCCGCAGTGAGCGCAACGGCGTTAGAATTGAGCGATAAAATAAACAAAAATGAAATCAATACGAGAACTAATTGTGAAAATGTGGCCTTGGGTGATCCGACTCCTCGCTGAGGTAATTTCCTAATTCCCCCCCCCCCTTTTAATCCGCGGTCAGTTCAGGCGAGGAACAGTACATGATTTCTATCATATTACAATATATATATTATATCTATAAAAAATTATTCCAAGATAAAATGAAATTTTTCCAAGTTATGCATGGCAGAATAGATTGACCTCAAAAAACGTTATACTCTTTTCTTTTAGACAGGACCAATGAACTGTTAAATTATGAATTCAAGCCCGGTTGCACCAGCTTCAGATAACAAAAACGTCAGTTGAGGAAAAATGTAAATTTTAATGTTCAATGGATTGTTTTACCCGGGAGAGTAACTCAAATTTATCCCAGGAACAATAAACAATAATTTATCCTCGAGTGAAATCAGTGTTAAGGGAAGACGACTGTGAGTTTTAAAAATTGTGAGTTATTGGAGTGAGACGTTTTCATACGTTGAAGATCGATTACATAGATCTGAAAACGAATAATTAGTGCAAAAAAAATTTTTTTCATTGTTCGTTCGCCCGAAAACGCTTAAAATGCCAAAAACAATTCAGGGCCTCTAATTTTTGAGCTACGAATGATGTGTTTTTAATTTTCGGAAAAATATGTGAAATAACAATTACGAGCTAGTTTTTTTTCCNGCAAAAAAAATTTTTTTCATTGTTCGTTCGCCCGAAAACGCTTAAAATGCCAAAAACAATTCAGGGCCTCTAATTTTTGAGCTACGAATGATGTGTTTTTAATTTTCGGAAAAATATGTGAAATAACAATTACGAGCTAGTTTTTTTTCCATTCACCTCTTACATGGCTACATTTGCTTTTTTTTACACAAATAGTGAATTTTTTTTACATGAAAAAAAAAAGCGAAATCAGCTGCATAGGAGTCGAATTCCAAAAAACTGGCACGTAATTATTGTTTCACACATTTTTCCGGAAATTTCGAAAAAAAAAAAATTTTTGTAGCTCAAAAATTGGAGCCCATAGACTGTATTTAGCATTTTAAGCGTTTTCGGGCAAACGAACAATAAAAAGGTTTTTTTTTTGCACTAATTACTCGTTTTCAGATCTATTCAATCGATCTTCAACGTTTGAAAAGTCTCACTCCCATAACTCACGACTTTTAAATCTCACAGTGGTCTCCCCTTAACTCAAATGGAACTGCAGGATAAATAAAAAAATATTCGTTCGGTCAAACATGCAAAAATGATGATCCCTTGGATATAATTGATCCGGACGCTAAATTTTACCGTCGGGTTTATTTGGTTAATAGGGCTTGGTGCAACCGGGCCTCATTCTTCAAAATAAAAATGGGATTGAATGGATATTACAAATTACGAAATACCATTTCTAATTCTCTACTCCCATTTCTTCAATTTCAATTTTTCAGCCATTTCCCAAGTTGAATTTTACTAAATAACTAAATTGTAAAATAATGTATTTATTCTTCCCAATAAAGATGCTATAGCATGAATATTATGAAAATTCCTACTGTAAATGTAAATGTTGGTACATATCTCCACAAACGTAAATTATTCCTTTCTTGAGAAGAAAATATGTGAAGAAAATCGTAGAAACCTCCGTTCTTGCTAAAATTTGAACTCCCATCATGACATTCAGCTTGATCAACGATCTCTTTTTAATTTTAGGGCCCTTATGTGGCTTAAGCAAGCCCCGTCGCCCATCATGAGACTTCAAATGATAGAACGTCGGTTTGTATCGGGCATTTGAGTCAGAACAATCAGTGATTTTAGACTCATGGACAAAGTGGGAATCATTGCCTCCTCGGCAATCATGCACTTAATTTCCAAAATGAGTCATTAGGTGAAAAATTTCCAATTCAATCTCGATTCCTACATTTTTTTCTCACAATCTGACTCAGGGCCAAGACGGCTAGAGGAGTCAGCAATTTTCGAAAAATCCCCGTCCTGAAGGGGTCGAGCATCTATTTTCCAAAATAACCTATTAGGGGCAAAAGAGTCTACAGTTTCCGAAATATTCATCCCCTCTTCCCATCGTACCATCAGCAGACCGATTTAGGGTTAGAAGTATATAGAAAAAATTCACCCCCTGTAAGCCTCAACCAAGAACCAAAAATTCCCTCCCCTCTCTCTACGCAGCCTTCACAATCAGATTTAGGCTCAGAAGGGTCAGAAAAAATTCCCTCCCCCCCTTTGGTCTTCCCATAATGCGATTAAAGGTACGAAGGGTCAGAAAAAAATCTTCTCCCCGCTGCATCCACAACAAGGACCTCAAAATTCCCCCCTTCCTCACCATCGCACCGTCAACTAGCCGATTTGGGGTCAGAAGGGTCAGGAAAAATTGCCCACTTCCCTTGGACTTCCCACAATCAGATTGAGGGTCGGAAGGGTCAGGAAAAATTCCCCCCCCTCGCACCCTTCGCAATTCGATTTAGGGTCAGAAGGGTCAGAAAAAGATTTCTCTAACCCCTTGGACTTCCCACAATCAGATTGAGGGTCGGAAGGGTCAGGAAAAATTCCCCCCCCTCGCACCCTTCGCAATTCGATTTAGGGTCAGAAGGGTCAGGAAAAATTCCCCCCCCTCGCACCCTTCGCAATTCGATTTAGGGTCAGAAGGGTCAGGAAAAATTCCCCCCCCTCGCACCCTTCGCAATTCGATTTAGGGTCAGAAGGGTCAGAAAAAGATTTCTCTAACCCCTTGGACTTCCCACACTGTAATTGAAGGTCAGAAGAGTCAGGAAAAATACTCCCCACCCCCCTTGGACTTACCACAATGCGATTAAGAGGCAGAAGGGTAAAAAAAATCCTCCTTTCCTGCCCATCGCACCCTCAACTATCCGATTTAGGGTCAGAAGGGTCAGAAAAAAAGCCGCCCCCCTTGGAAATCCCTCAATGTGATTGACGGTCAGAAGGGTTAGAAAAATTCCCCCCCCCCGGACTTCCCACAATGCGATTAAGGGTCACAAGGGTTAGGAAAAATCCTCTCTAGCCTTGGTTTAGGGTTAGAAGGGTCAGAAAGAAATTCCCCTCTTCCCCTTGGATCTTCCACAATCCGATGTGGGGTCTGAAGGGTCAGAACCCCTCGTCCCCCTCCTCGGACCCAAAAAAAATCCCCCTCCCTTCCCATCGCACCCTCAATTATACGATTTAAGGTCAGATGGGGCAGAAAAAAAATTCCCCCCACTCTTGGACTTCCCACAATGCAATTAAGGGTCAGAAGGGTCAGAGAAAATTACCCACCCCCCCTTGGACTTACCAAAATGTGATTGAAGGTCAGAAGGATCAGAAAAAATCCCCCCCCCCCTCGCACGCTTAGCAATTCGATTTAGGATCAGAAAGGTAAAAAAAAAATTCCCCCCCGCCCCCGAGGACTTCGCTCAATGCGATTAAGGGTTAGAAAAATAATTCCCCTCACCCCTCGCACCCTCATCAAGGAACCAAAAATTCGACCTCCCTTCCGTGTGTCTTCTGAGAATGACACATCAAAAATCAATTGTTTGATTAATAATTAAAAAATTAATTAAAAAACCGGCCGATGCTATCCCACTGTCAACTCATTCGGCAAGCGGCTGGCCCAGGGTCTGTAAACTTCAGGTATCGAAATTGATGATGAAAATAGGCGGAGCGACGAAGTTGCGAGAGTTTCGTCAGAGGCGCTGGCGCTGTTCTGTACATGCGCATCGAAGAAAGCGATGGGGGGGATCCGTGTTGTTATTTTCAAATGTCTGTTGTTATGTCAAAAAGAATATGTTACATGGTTTAATCAGAAACAGTGTAAAATTAAATAATTAAACTCAAAAGTTGGAGAAGATATAATTGTGAGGAGGAGATAAGAAGAGATAAGTTCGATTTCGTGAAATTTAGTTGTAAGTACTCCAAAATTTCAACCTGTGTTTTCCCAGGTTGTGGAGTGACGGGGGAAAAAACTTCACCGAGTCCCATTTCGACCCTGGATCCGAGAGCGGTGGAAACAACAATTCAACTCCCCTGAACTCCAGAATCTTCCTCCACAAAAGTTGAATAAACTTTTCGTCTGCTCCAACCACTTCTTGCCGTCAGATTATTCATCAGGTTCAAATCGTCGGACATTAAACCCCACCGCTGTGCCCAGAAATATTGACACTTCGAAGCGAATGGAAGTGGATATTCCCATAGATCAGCACATAACACTCGAAGTAGGAGACCAGCGTTTGAAACAGGTGACAAATGTAGAAGTGGATAATGATGCTGTTGATACTGGAACTGATACTGAAGCTGTTGATAAAGAGAACCTGGATTCTCATAATATGACGGAAGTGATGGGGTCACTTGGAGAGTCCGAAAGCAGTGAAACGCTCCCAAGTGAAATTCATGAACCCCTGGTATCCCAGAGAAAAGGAGAAACAATTTTGGACGAGGAAGGAATCACTCTAGAATATGAGAATTTAATTAAGGAATTGAAGGTGAAAAATAGCTTATTGGAGAAGAAAAACAAAAGGCTAGGTCAAGGGCTCCGCAGATGTAAAGAACGATTGAAAAAAGTGAGCTCAGTGATGAAATTAGATCGAGTGAAAAAGTGGTCCAAATGTGGAGAGAAACTACAATTGCTAGGCAATTTGCAGTTCCGTAAT